AATGATGGGAGTTTAGAAGCTTTAAATCATATGGGAAATTTTCATATTTTTGTTCTACATAATTGGATCTGAACTGTAAGAGCTTTCTGAACACTGGGAAACACTAATCATTTCACAAGTTTATGAAGCCACCAAAGCGGCGAAGTCATTGATTTCTTTTTGAGAGCTCACACACAAACAGACATGAGAAGAGTGTATTTAGCTCATTTCCATACCATTGAATGGGACTCTGAGCATCTCAGAATCCTATATGAAGGAACTTAACTACTTAATTACTACTATAGAAATTTGATATTTCACACAGATTTTAGAAAGGCTATGGAGTGGCACATTGTAGCTGGATGAGGAAGTGAGTATTTGTAATTAACATGACCCCAGAGGAACATATTTGGCAAAAAATACCTCTCCTTGTGAGTGTTCTTTTGTAGTTTGTCATTATACATGCAGAACAAAACAACACCAAGTGTAAAATCATTTTTATCCTTACAAAACATCAGTATTATGGAATGATACAATTATGTCCTATTCTGACGGCATCATCAGAATACCACAGGAATTTACTTTTTGCAGAAATCTAGCAGTTCTAGCAGTTTAAATAAAGAATTAAAGGTCATAATCAACAGGTGGCGACTAGATTTCAAGACTACGTGGATTGTAACATCAAGAAGTATTTTCGTTAGCGTGCCCCATAGGGAAGAAAAGCTAAAGGAAATACAATCTGCTTTCGCTTCATGACAGTTGCACCTCTGAAATCTTGAAAATACTTACAGATGTGTTTTGTGCTTAAGTGGAGCAGAGGAGTATGCAGCCTGTCCAAAGTCACTCTCTGATCTAAAAAATATCATTTTTCACCCAAGTTCTTACTGCAATCCACATACACTCACAAGATGTGGAGTCACTGCAAAATATTTGCCACTGACAAACAAGTGTCTAATAATGAAAAAATGTATCAATAAACATATAGTCAACAATCTGCAGTAACTTAGCGATAACTACTATTTCACAATAATCAAGGTCACCCTCCCCCTAAGGTTGAAAGGTTGCACGCTGCAGGTACAAGCCTACGTACAGTAGGGAAGGACAAACATGCCTAACCATCACAAGACACAGATCTTAATGAAACCTGACAGTCTGTCAGCATAGCACCACTACTCTCTACGAATTTTAAGAATCGGGTAGCACAAGTGTTTGGGAAGGGAGTTCAGAAATAAAGTCAATGGCATAAACCACAAAACAGTCAATTCTATTCTCATGTTCCTAAAATGTGTAAGGAAATCCAGAAAAGAACTAAATATGGTTATTCCTTTAATGTAAGAATAGAATGGTAAAGATTTTGTTCAATTAAATTCACTGTAATTGACGCCGGCAAGTCTTGCAGTCCAATCATGAGGGGAAAAAGAGAGGCCTATCTGAACTATATGGCAATTCCTGTAACAACTCTTCAGTTCACAGAATCATAGAATCATAGTGTCCTGAGTTGGAAGGGACCCACAAGGATCATCAAGTCCAACTCCTGACCCTGCAGAGGACAACCCCAAAATTCACACCACATGTCTGAGGGCGTTGTCTAAATGCTTTGTGAATATTGTCAGGCTTGGTGCCGTGACTACCTCCCAGGGTAGCCTGTTCCAGTGCTCCACCACCCTCTGGGTGAAAAGCCTTTTCCTAATATCCTAACAGTTGATATCTGACTGACAGGAACAGGAAAATTTGAAAGCAAAGCTTAGGTACTTCCTGTAGAGAAAATTTGAAGCATGCTAGAGAGGTGAGGGTATGTTGTCTTGGTAGATAAATACTCAGCGAGTTTCTGATGGCAGATTGTTCTCTAATGAATCATTCCTGTGGAGTGGTAACTTCATCAGTGGAGGTCTTGATGTCATCTTTGACAGCTCCTGGTGGTCGGATAGCAGCAGATGCTGAACATGGTCTCCTGTGCAGCACAGACAGACAGCGCTGTAGCTACTATGAGGATGTGGAGATAAGAGGGATCTGGTTGCTGACAAACTGGCAGCATAGAAGCAACAACTCTGGTGGCTACACCAAGCTGTCATGGCACAGGTGAACGCATCTTAGTGCTTAGAAACAGCCGGTGCTCAGCAGGTTGGATCAGGTCAGCAGGCGCTTGGCTTATACCATGATGCCTTACTGTATATGAGTTTTGTCTGAGCCCAGTGGCAAACTGTTATGTGGGGACACGAATACCTACCAAGCCAAAGCAGGATGTTTTTTCTGTAAGTTCAGCACAATGCAATTACCAGCAACTAGAGAGACCAACAACATATCTTGTGCTATAATCAGTAGTCTGACATACATAACTAAAGAAAAGCCAATGCTCATTAATGGGTGAAAAATATAAGAAGTTTCTTCCCGATTTCTTGGTTTAGCAGAATACTTTCCACAGATTTCAGTTCTTTCTGAACTCTTCAGAACATCCACAGCAAATGCCTGTTCACAAGTAGCCGAGTAAGTCTGAAAAGTCATCTGCATGAAATGGGGGAAGTGTTTGTCTGCCATCTCTGTCTTCAGCCATCTCCTCTTTTGCCCCAGCTCTGGTTCTCTTTGGACCCATCTCTGAGTTGCTTCAATGTTTTACCAGTGGCTTATTAGGAAACAATATAATAACTTTCTTCCCCTGACTCCCACAGTAGTTTTCTCTTAGGCTGAAGAGTTAATTCACCTCACAGAAGCTCAAAAAAGTGCCAGAGATGATGCAAGGGGAAGTGATGGGAATGCATGGCCTCTAGCAGAAAACAAGGTCAATTGGTACTTGCCCTGTCTCAATTCACCCTTGGGACTAGAGTCTCAATACTCAATCAGAAAGTTGGTCAATCAAGGCTTAGACTGATGCCACTTGGGGGCCATTCCAGGAGATTTTGACAGAAGACACCAAGATACATAAATATGTGAGACTATATTTTAATGAGCAGTTTGATTAAATCTACCTTAGGCTGGCTAATCATAGGTCATAAAAAGCTATTTTAAAGTTGTAACAAACAAAATCTTATTGAAAATGAATGAATTTAAAGAGGTAAAAAACAGACAAGACCCAGAGCAGTCTCTCAGTAACAACTTCCAAATGCACGCTATAAAATTATGTTTCCTACTCATTATAATGAGTACTACTACTCATTTGTTGTATGCGGAGGAGTAATGAGTACTACTCCATCCATTGTTGGATGCGGAGGGAAACATTGCCACAAAGGATGAGGAGAAGGCTGAGGTACTTAATGTCTTCTTTGCCTCAGTCTTTAATAGTCAGACTGGTCATCCTTGGGGTTTTCAGGTCCCTCAGCTGGGAGATGGAGATAGGATGCAGAATGAAGCGTCAGTTGTCAAAGAGGTGGCAGCCACCGACCTGCTCCTCCACCTGAATGCTCACAAGTCCACGGGGCCAGACGGGATCCACCCAAGGATACTGAGGGACCTGGTGGAGGAGCTTGCCAAGCCACTCTCCATCATTTACCAGCAGTCCTGGTCAACCGAGCAGGTCCCAGCTGACTGGAAGTTAGCAAATGTGATGCACCTCTACAAGAAGGGTCAGAAGGAGGATCTGGGGAACTACAGGCCTGTCAGCCTGACCTCAGTGCCGGG